GCTCAGCGCCGCGGCGGGAGGGGAGGACCAGAGCAAACAGTGCTGCCAGCTGTTGGGAGAAACCTCTTAAATTACCCGCTGCTGACAACGGGGGCTGGCAGCGGGTGCAGCTAAGCCGGCACCAAACAGGGTTTAACTGCAAGTGCAGCCAAGGACAAACTACGGTCACAGCACTGTTTCAGAAGTCTCCATCCAAACCTCCGTGGCTTGGGGCTAAATCCTGTCCAGCTCTGCGCCTGTCGATGGCAACAGGCAAGTTTGCCAGCACCGATGAAGCGCCGTGCTGTACTTTGCTCTGCTGCTGACCTTCATGGCAGATCCCAGCAAGTTCCTGCTAAAGCCCCAGTTAAAGAAGCAGACATGCACGGACAGCCTCTGATTTATTAACAACCCTCTTCCTGACGGACTGACTCTCCACAGCTGGCAATGTGGTCATGCAGATCAATTTTCCATACTAGCACACGTCACCCAAACAGTCACATACCCTGCCCTCGGCAGCAGAAGCTCCTTCTCCAGCCTCCATCCCTCTTCCTTCCGCCCCAAGCAGCTCCTCACCCTGGACCCTTCCCTGCGGCAGCCCTCCGGCTCCCGACCCACTGCCAAAGCTGTCACCGCTCTCCCCTTCCCCATTTAGCACGGATCTCATCCTGACTGCAACTGGTTAGTCCTCTTACAGGCTTCGTCCTGTGCAAACAGTTAAGCCTTGATGCTTGATCCTACCCCAGAAGCAATGCAAGCGCTTGTGATGGTAGGATTAGCCGAGATGCGTACGTCATGTTTTCTACTAAAAATTACAGCTAAATCATGAAGACTTTCAAGGACGTGGACACGTTGTTGAACATCACAACTGTGTCCACATACACAGTAAAAGGGGGGAGCTCTGCTCCATATCGCAGTCGCTTTATTGTAAGTTGATATCAGAAAGCAAGATTACAAGATCCATCAACAGAAACCTTGCGTTTCTAACTGCTGACTTACAAACAGTTGTTCATGTCTACCCCTTAAAGCCTCAGACTCAAAATCCCTTGCAATTTAAGACAGGTTCGAGGCTGTAACCATGTGTCTGCTGAACACTGCTGAAGTTTGAGCACTGCCACCTTTGAACGCCACCTCCAGGGCTCACAAAGCCCAAACACACTGCGACACCTACAAGGAATCAACCAAGTCATCACACCTTGGCAGGGAAGACCTCAGGAACAACTGGTACTTAGCTGACCCGTGCAGCTAAGCAGTAACAGTTATTTTTCTCTCTATCCTTCTTACTATCCAGTGGGCAGTGTTGATGAGATGCATTTGCTGATGCAGCAGAGCCAGGCAAAGGAGCCCAACATAACCTCATCCTCCATCTCCATCAAACATACTGGACCCTCCTCCAAGCTGCAGAAATTCCCACCCTTGACATTTTTAAGGACAGTTCTAGCACAGCAAAAGCATGGACATGAAGGGAGTCATCTCCATGACCTGGGGAGACCTGGAGGGGGAAATCAAACAATCCCCCCACTTCGGGGTTGTGTGAGGGGAAGGCAGGAGCTGGGCATCAGGAGCTTTAGGAGCATCTGTACGGCAGCCACGGAGCATCACACAAACCAAGAAACCAGTGGCAATATGGGAATCAAAGCACCAGTAACAGAGCAAAGATCTCCTGCCTGCAGCGATGCCAGTTTATCACGTACAGCGACGTTTCCCAGTTCTAGCATTTTTGGAGTGAAACCCATTTCATAAACTGGCAGCAAACCCCATGATATTTACAGGCATCGGGGCTATCTCCGAAAGGCAGCTCCCATCCTCACAGCACCAACCAACACATCATTATTGCCCGGGCTAAACCTCAGGGCTCACCTCCGCCCTGGTCCCTCCGGCCCCAGCGCACACTGATACTGCTGGGAACGAAAGGGTCACGTTGTTGACCCACCTGCTCCTGTTTTCTTCAGTTGGATCTAGTCAAATTTCAGCAGCTGCAGAGCGGCACAAAGCGCCCCATTGTTATCTCCCGCGCAGCCGGAGAGGGAGCCACGGGTTGGTTGGTTGATTTTTTTTTTTGGGGGGGAAAAAAAAAAATTGAAATAAAATCAACTGCCAATGGTGGCTGCACTTGCCCCACACGCGTTTCGAATGTTTGTTACATGCTCCGAACTTAATGCAGCAAAATCCATAGTTTGGCATTTTCTAGAGGTCTCTGCTGGGGCAGGGGAGGAGGAGAAGCAGGGAGGATGTGCCGGGGGGCAGGAAAGACAGGGAAGGGGATGAAGCAAAAATGAAACCAAAAAAAAAAAAAGCTTTTCCATGTTCCTTTTAGGGTTTTCAAACGTTTTTATTCTTTAACGTTATACAAACCCTCCAATCATTTAAACTTTCAGCTAGGAAATCCAGCTCAACATCAAGTGATCTCTAGAGTCAAAAGCCATTTGCTGCTTGAAAGAGGAGCTGCAAAAGCCGGCACCGCGCGGTCTGGGTCCTTCAGCAGCGACCATACGCGTTGGCAGAACATCTGATGGGCTGT